TTTAAAAGATATTATTAACAGAATTTTTGGGAACAAGTGTTTTTCTAACACAGTTCCGACATTTCATTTCGAATCTTTTTTGATGAAATAGTATAATTATTAAAGCTCTAAAAACTACGTCGATTGCCGCCAACGCCGTGAAAATCAGTTGATCCATTCACAAGTTATATAATAGCTGTTTGAAAATTCAAAAAATTGTGTTTTATCAAACCTTCATCAGACTTTTGGACTCGAAGAACTCAAAAGTATAGAACAGCTAGTGTTTGGGTTCGGAGAGCTCAAAAATAAAAACAACATATTTTTGAGCTCGAAGAGCTCAAAAACGTCATTGGTGCAATTTTGAGCGCTTAATTTAAGTATGGATAACTTTTGAACGGCTCATCCAATTTTATCGCGGTTAGTGCCATTTGAAAGTCATTTCGGCTTGGCCAAACTTAAATTTCAAGTATGATTTGAACCGATTCGAATCAGTAGATTTTGAGAAATCTTAAAAAAATTAAGAAAGAAAATTTTTTCAAATGTGGTTTTTTTTGGAGGGCTTTCAAACGGCTTTAACGATTGATTCCAAAAAAAATCAGCTCTAGACAATATAAAATCACGTCAATCGCCGCCAAATCAATTAAAATCGGTTGATTCGTTTGACAGATATCGTGAACAAAAAATTTCCAAAAAATCATTTTTTTAATATAACTCCGACATTTCTTTTCGGATTATTTTTGATAAAATAGAATAATCATTAAAACTCAAAAATCCGCATCGATCGCTACCAAAAACGTGAAAATCGATTGATTGGTTTGAAAGATATTATTGACGAAATGTTTGGGAACAAGTGTTTTTCTAACACAGTTCCGACATTTCATTTCGAATCGTTTTTGATGAAATAGTATAATTATTAAAGCTCTAAAAACTACGTCGATTGCCGCCAACGCCGTGAAAATCAGTTGATCCATTCAAAAGTTATATAATAGCTGTTTGAAAATTCAAAAAATAGTGTTTTATCAAACCTTCATCAGACTTTTGGACTCGAAGAACTCAAAAGCATAGAACAGCTAGTGTTTGGGTTCGGAGAGCTCAAAAATAAAAAAAACATATTTTTGAGCTCGAAGAGCACAAAAACATTGTAATATGTTGAATTAAGCGCTTAGGTACAGAATTGGCGGGAAGTTGCAGGGATGGCCCTTAGGGTCAACCGTTTTCCACATTTTTTTTTACCAATATCCCTGATAGCCACGCTTTCTTTAAACGTAGTTGGCTTTCAGCAGTTATATGTACAGTTAACTTAACATCAAGTTAGCGGTAATTCTTTACTGAATAACAGTTGTAAACAAATTGACGAAAATTTACGGCTGCAATTTGAATACAAGTTAACACCAAATTTTTAGTTAAATTTCCTTTCAACTTTCTTCGATTCTATTCTTTTTAGGAGGCTGGTTATTCTCTAATCTTCTTGAATAAATTGAAACTGGTGGTAATTTCGTGAAATGTGTAGATTTTACAGATTGATCAGCAGTTGTAAATTTTCTTTTATTTTCTCCTGTAGTAGAAGAAGGTCTCACGTGTTTAGTTGGTTCTGATGGAACCGATTTTTCAATTGTGGCTAGAATTTCATCATCTACCTCAAAATCATCTGTAAAATTATTATACTCGTCATCGGTCCAGGTAGACTTTTCATTTTCATTGCAATTTTCTACCTCAATCTCATTGCTTCCACATCTGCTGTGTATCATTGATGAATAGAGTATTTATTGAAAAAATTATTTGAGTGTAAAAACTTTTTTCATAGAAAAAAAAATTTTTTTAAATTTAACTTTAATATACAATAGAAAATATGGTCATTTTTAATAAATGAAAGTTACCTTGTGCTATTCCGGTTGATTTCCATCCTCCTAATTGCTTTAGCATCGTAGTATGGGCTCCTGAGTTTGACAAAAGTGTAGCCGAAGTTCTTCGGAAGCAATATCCAGTATACTTTTCTGGATTTGCCAATTTCAAATAAAAAGCTATCGACTTAGGTATTAGTCCAATGCTATTTCTACCCATAACTTGACGTTGGCATTTACCATTATGGTATTGAATAAAAAACCTTTCAGGAAAAAAATCAGCAGGCTTCAATGAAATGTATGTCTTAACTCTGTGATAAAAAGGATTTCCGATGATAAATTTACGTGGCACATCATTCTTTGACTCATTAATCGAAACAAGGTATTTGCCACCGAGGTCTTCTACATCCTTAACTTTCAGTTCTTTGAGCTCCTCACATCTAGTAGCTCCACAGATTCCAAAGACCAAGATGACCTTTAAATATTATAAAAATAAGAATATAAACTTAATAAATAATGAATAGGAGTGCTTATAAATACTTACTTTTGAAGCTAAATACATAGAATCTGGTGCTTCATTTATAAATCTCATTACTTCATCCCACGTCAACACAAGAGATTTTTTTGGTTTATAACCTTTGGCGTTATTTTTAACCATGCTTTTCACATTATGAAATTCACTAATGTCGATATCATCTTTTGTTTTCAATGTTTTTTTGAGTATCGACCAGATACTCCACATAGTGGGTGGACTTATCCTGGTACTCAAACATTTGAAATACACAACTAAATTATTTTCTTCAGACGTTGACAAAGCATTTCTATTTTCATGTCTCCATCGTTGATAATTATCATAGACTTGCAGGTATCTATCAGCAGATTTTTTTTGGTAAGGTATCTGATTCTACGATTAATTTTGCTTCGGCATCAAAATTTCTATCAACCTCGTCCTCATCTGTCGTTTCACCAGATGATAATATTTCGTTCATCATTATTGTATTTTTGTTAATATTGTAATTTTTTATTGTAATATTTTTATTAATATTAAAAAGTAATATTGAGTTAATATTTTTTTAACTACAAAAAGACGTACAAAATCACTATCTAACTGTAAATATATTTAGAGGTTAGAGTATAACCCGCAGTAGCTGCGACAATGCGTTCAAAAATTCTTTCGTTCCCCCAGTACTTTCTTTCGACACGCAGTTGTAGATGGCGTGCGTGTAATCCCAGCACAGCACAAATCTTAGACTTTCTGCCGTGAACTTGGTGCAGAACATATACGTATACGTACTTTCGCCCGAGGTATAAAGAAAAAACATTCTCAGACACAAAAAAAAAACAGTTTTTTATATTAAGAAACGTATATTGGATATAAAAAAACTTGAATAAAACCCTGATTAAGAAATCTAATTTGAAATGATTTAAATGCATCGGATTTGAATACTATATATATATATATATATATATTATTACAATTAATTAAGGTAATCATTTATATTTATATAATTAATTAAGGTAATCATTTCAAATCATCTTTCTGAATCAGGGAAATATTTTGTATTTTGGGTGGAAAAAAAACTTATTTTTCTGTGTATTCATATTTTATCTTAATTTCTTTCGAAATTATTTTCTTTTCCTCACCAAACTCGCTCGGGACTTAAAATAATTTTTACATTTTTTACATTTTCTTAACTAAGTCGCTCGCGACTTAAAATATTTTTGCATACTCTTCATACTGATAATTTTATTATTACACAGTAATATTAATCGTAATAATAATATAATAATAATAACCACAATAATATAATAATTAATAAATTAAAGTTTTATCGCCTTATTGGTCAAGTGATTAGTGAATCTAATTCAAGCCAACAGATGGACATTCCATCTTCGCTATTGGTCGAGAGGGAATTCTCTCTTTGCATAAGTTCGATGGGGGTCCATCAAACTTGAATACTAGTAAAGCTGGAAGTTTTTGTGGTATTCGTTCGAGTTATAAATTATAATAATTAATGTTTATAATGATCGACGAAATAAAAGATAATAATCGTCGTGATAAACACTAATTAATCATCGTGATAAATAATAATTAATAATCATCGTTATTGAATAATTAAACATATTTGTCGTAATTTAATTAAACTTGACAACTATTTTCAAATAATAACGTAATAGATTACTATTATTATCAGTATGATGTTTATTTGCATAACTTTACAGTTTTATACAAGTTTTTTTTTTTTTTTTAAATATAAACATTAAATAGGTATTTTTTTTTTTTATTAGGTCTTTCGTGCTTCAGCCTATTGGCCTGGAAGCGGGGGACTACGTCCCATCCTATTTTTCCTATTCATCCCCACTTCAGTGGTCCTCTCGTCTCCTACTGGTTTTTGCGGCTGTGGCCCGACTTGTGCTTTCTGTACCGTATTCACCCTGAACCTTACCTTCTCAGGCTTGGAACAGAATCATGGGGAAACCACAGAGAAAACCCATGATAGTACAGTCGGAGCTGGGCTAAGTCTACAGTGATTGATAAGGAACTCTTCTTTATCGACCACTGGAGCATGAGGTCCTTCTCCTAGTGTACAGAGATCCCTCGGGCTAGCCAACGCTGACTAGAGTGGTCACTCAATTAAGTTGTTGCTTAACTGAGCGATCGCTCAAGCCAGACGTGTGCCACCCGACTATCTCTGCCACTTGCAGAGGCAGGCAATGTACCGCACATATTTAACTGAAAAATAGTGGTGCGTGCCGGAATCGAACCCGGGTCTCACTCTTTCGAAAAGTGACCACCGAGCCGACTAGGCTATTGCTTGCCTTCATTAAATAGGTAATAATTGTTTTAAGCATTTTTTAGCTTTGGTATTCACTTTTCTCCTTCTATTGCCAATCTTTTCTTCTCTTAACCACTTAGAATTCCTCACTCTGCTCTCTGTCCCGCCTCTGCACTTTCTTCTCCAACTTTTTCAGCTTCTGTCTTTCTTTTTATTAATTCCTCAAACTTCGCGTCTATTTCACCTCTTAGAATTGTATATTTTTCTTTTTCAATCTCTTCTTCCTCTACCAATTTATCCCACTTTTCCAAAAATTTTCTTTCCTCCTCGTTCACCCCTTTCTTTACCTCATTAGTAATGTTACTCTGTTGACAATGAGTCATTACACTTTATTAGATGTGTTAGTGTTTCTATGCTTTATTAACATAATCTACACGCCCACTACGTATATCCTTTCTTATAAGCTCTCTCAATGTTTCCACATCTTATTCTTGCCCATTGTTCTTTGTCTTCTCCTCTTTTCTTGTCATCCTTCCAATAATTATATCCATCCTTTTCGATCATTATTTTTTTATATATTTTGTTATAACTTGATCTCTCAATAACTTTTCATCATCTTCCTTAAGTTTTTCTTCATATCTTTCAATCCCTGCATCAATTTTTTCCTCTATTTATTCATTTTCTTCCTTATTGTATATCATTCCTGATATTTCCTCACATCCCATCTCTTTTATCGCTGAATGCAAATTTTTATCCCTTTTTGTCGGATTTCTGTTTAATATTCCTCTCATTTCTTCCCGTAGTGCTATTTTTAGCCGCCTGTCTTCCTCCATTGCCAACACATCCTTCACATATCTAGCAGCTCTCTCCCTCGTCGTTACTTTTATGTTCTGCACTCTTGTGTCCATTCTCCAAATATACCCAGGGGTATTCCTATTGACTCCTACACTGAAAAAAATAATCGGTAGAGGTTACCGATTTTTTTCCGATAGAGGCTACCCATCTTTCGGTAGAGGCAACCGATTAAAATCGGTAAAGGCTACCGTTTTTTCGGTAGCCTCTACCGATAAAACGGTAGCCTCTACCGATTTACATTTACCGAAAAAATAGTTTTTGGGGCCTATAATTAAAGTATCAAGTCAACATGATTTTCATGTGGCAGTAACATGATTTTCATGTGGCAGGCAATCCTTTATTAAAAAGTTGATGTAACGTTTTCATTGTTGTCGCTTTTTGTTGTTATGGTAACCACTTTAGCAACGATTACCATGGCAACGGTTAAATAATAATGAGTAAAATTTGTAAAAATATTGATTAATTAAATTTTCGATGATAAACATTTTGACAGAAGCGTACTCAAATGAAAGGTTTCGATGAGCGTAACATCAGGATGAGCTTATATCTTAAAAAATTTCAATAATTATGAAATGACGTTGCCTACTGATGATACGTTGTACTGATGTTACGTTGTATTTTGTCCACTGATGATATTTTTAACGATATAAGCTTTTTAACTTTTTACTAAAGGATTTTATATATATGATATTACTCATATTTGTGAAATATATAAAATAGATAAAAAGTTCGTGTGGGTATTCAAATGAAAGGTTTCAATAAGTGTAACACCAGGATGAGCTTATATCGGTAACGTTTGTTGGAATAGCAACGATACTGGCATCCACCCACACAGTGACAGTCACAGGTCATACTGTACATAGCATTGTGGAAGGGGTTTATGACCCTATCGGACCCAAGCTAGAGGACCACTGCTAATACAGTCAGTCCCAAGGATCCCTCCCTAGTAATAACATTGTGACCCATAATTTTTCATTACTTATTCTCAATCATTTTATATTATTCATACTATTGTAATCAACAGTTAATAAACTCTCACTCATTATTAAACCTTATCGCTGTGTCTTCCATTATAAAGCCAATAACGTTACATCAACTTATTAATAAAGGGTTGCCTCCCTAGCGGATCCGTATACTCTGTGTATACTCGGAGTAAATTCGGTGTAAACTTGGTGTGGTGTATACTGGGGGGATACGGTGGATATATTTGGTATTTTTCGAATAAACACTAAGTATAGATAAAAAATACACTCAATATACTCGGTGTGAATTCGAATCATATACCACAAGTTTACACTGAGTATACACCAAAAAAATTTTCTATCTCCAGACAGTGACAAAGTTGTCAGAGTTGTCAGTGAGGAAATTTTTTTCAAATAAACAAAGTAGGTATGAATCGTCCGGAAATGACCTGAAACGAACAAATAACAAAATCAGATGATCGTTTCTTGGTGTATTACTTTCAACGCGTATACTGTAAAAATTTATTAAGTCCATTCTAAGAGAAATTTTTTTCACCAAAAAAAAATAAATATGTCTCGACTTGAAATAATTTAAAATGAATAAAGAACAGGACATCAGGACATTTAATTGTTTTGGTGTAACATGCTGAATGAAAAATTTTAAAGCACAAAAAAATTTAACTTAAAAGTTTTCAAGTCCTGTCTAAAAGTAATTTTTTTCGGATAAAAAAAAAGTATATCTGTACGGACTGGAAATAACTTGAATTGGATAAGTTAACATTATTTTAACATGTATTTTCTTTAGTTTGAAAACTTCACTGTTTACATTGTCCAAAAATCTCAATATTTGTTAACTTACGCAGGCGCCTTGCGTAGTAGTCTCAATACATTCTGTACTATGCAAGTTAAACTACAAATAATATAAATTTACTCATTAAGTCTGTTGAGAATGATATATTTATATTAATGTCATTATTTATAGAGTGAACAAAATCAAAAATACTTATTTTACTAAGTAAACAAAGTGATTATCTTTATTTCTAATATTTTTACTTTCTTACATCATGGACACTGGAACATGATGTCTTAATTTCAATTAATTTATCAGTTTCTAGCAGTTTGTAGCCCATTATTATTTATAAATTAAAAAAATTTTTTATAATTCAACACTTAAAAAAAATTTTAAACCCTGGGACTTTGAAATTTTTTTAAGGTGTAAACAGGGCATAAGTCATACACTGGAACATGGTCCCTTAATTTCAATAAATTTATCGGTTTCTGGCAGTTTGTAGCCTATTGTTATTGATAAATTAAAAAAAATTTTTCGATTCAACACTTGGAAAAATTTCAATCTCGGGGACTTTAAAAAAATTTTCGGTGTATACGCGGCGTATATTTTGGATGAATTCGACACGTATACACTATGTATACTTGGTGTATACTGAGCATAAACCGATCCGCTGGGGCTGCCACATGAAAATCATGTTGCTGTTTCATGAGAATCATGTTGACATGTCATTTATACTTTAATTATAGGCCCCAAAAACTATTTTTTCGGTAAATGTACATCGGTAGAGGCTACCGATTTTTGGAGTTTACTCCTTAAGAAACGATTTGAGTTATAAGGCCCGATACGGAAATTTTATGGGGAGTAAAATCAAGTGTAACACGGAAAGTTGACGCATTACGTAGAAAGAGACAAACATATATATCTGTAGGATTGAACGTGCTAAAGAATGAGATGGAATACATTACACAGCGTATCTTATTCTCGGGGCCTCCTCTTTGTGCTATGCTTCGTAGTCTCACTGTATAGTTCACTACCTCTGGTCTGAGAGTCGAATATGTACGTATGTTTGTATGTGTGTGTTGCATGCCTGTGTATTACGAAGTTCTGTCGCAACTTGAGCAAAAAAAAAAGGTCTAGTTTTTTGCAAATATTTGAAAAACTAATAAAGATTTAAAAAATTTTTAAAAAGTTTTAAAAAGAGGGAGAATTTCCTAAAAAAAGTCCCAACTCCCGAAACTGTAGGACCAATATTTATAATTTTCCCAGAGGAATGAAAATACGGTCAAAAACGGGTGCTCTGGCTTGTGTAAGCCACGCCTCCTTTGGACACTTTATTAATGAAAATTATTTTAACATATTACATATAAAATTTAAGAAATAAAAAAAATCAGGGGCTTACTGGATAGATAAATGAACAATAATTCGCCTGAAAAAAATTTTTCAATTAGTTATGCAATAGTTAATTAATAATTTTTATCTGCTTGAACATGTACATTACAAGTGTGATAATTTTGAAACTATAAATTAGAGGTTTTTTTTTCTCTTGGAGCAATTCTTGAAAGGCTCCAGAATAGATCCCCGTTGGAAAAATCAAAAAATTTTCATTTTTTAGTTTTTTATTAATAATTTTCGTTGTTGCAAAATTAAAAACTCAAATTAATCATCGAAAAAATTTATTTTTTCTAAATATTGTTAATGATCCGTTTTTATGTTGTCAGAAGCTGCATAAAAATAATTTTTAAAATTTTTATCTATTATTGTTTAAAAAATTGGTATAAACAAATGCGTTGTTTATAAGATAATTGAAAATTTTTTTGCGGAATTTCAATCTTTGATAACAAATAATGATTTTTAAAAGAAAAATTGTTACTTAAACAAATTTGTGGAGTTTACACACAATTTTTTTATTTATATCGGTCGATATTAATTTGCGATTGGAAAATATTAACAAATTAATAGAGTTAGCTATTTTGACAAATTAATTGTATAATTAATGCAAATAAATGTATCATGTATGCTTCGAGTAATATAATGATTAATTTTATTTAACATTATTTATTAATCTATATATACGATATAATCGTTCGTAAGGAGTAAACTCCGTAGTCGTGCGTTGGAGCTGACACACAATTTTTTTTGGTAGAGGCATCCGATTAAAATCGGTAGCCTCTACCGATTTTTTTTTCCGTGAACATTGATTTCAACCCTCTAGTTCCGAATATTCGACGATTCAGGAGTATCAGGTTGAACTTAAGGTTCATTTTGATGATGAAAAGAAGTTATCCAGGTTCAAAGCAGGTTGATAATTTAGGTCGTCCGGGAACGATTTTCGTTAGTAAATGTCGTAATTTAATTTCTGAATGCAAATTTATCGTGAATTATACATTTACACAGTTGGCGGTGTAAAAATATTAAATTCACACCCCCTAAATTTAACATGGTATTTGGTGTAATTTTCACACGAAAATTTATACATCGACTCATTTACACTACACCGAGTCGAAAAAATTTTTTACAGTGTATAAAACAGAAAAAAATTTTCAGTAAAATTGAAAGGGTTCGGCTTCAAAGTGATCGATTTGACGTGGAATGCCCCATATTCTTCAACTATAGAAAAATTTTGTGTATGATTTTCGACGGCACTGTCACTATTAAGTTCATGGATTTTTTCCACACTGATAACCTAAATAGTATTTGTATTTTTGTGGATCTTGTGAATCGTCAACCTAATTTATTTTTCCTATGATCAAAATCTCTTGGAGCTCTCAGTTCGCAGTACGATGTCAATTGGAACGAACTAAATTTTTCAGTGTTTCAAAGACGAGGCAATTTTGCATAGGAAATGAATAATATTTAATATTTTCATATTTGAGATGAATAATGTTACCATTTGGTCGTAAGCAATATTTTCTCCCTCGGTTGTTAAAAAAACATATTCCCAGAATACAATTAGGACCACTAATGGATACAATAAGCCCACCCATACTGTCTAATAATAATTTATATTTATTTTTCGTTGGTGGTCATTAAACTGTATTAAAAATATGCGTATGATATATATATTCTAGGCCAATGACCAGCTGCCTCCTTATTATCATACGATAAGCGCAACCGAGATAACCCAGGATGGATTCATCCTGCCAAAGAACTAGTGGGCGCTGCATGTCGGAAGTCTCGATATCCGGATGTTGAGCGACATTGGCTCTTTTCTGTCTAGAGTAAATATATACATAGAGATTCTATTCATAGAAATAAATGAGAATAAATTACTACCAACACAACTATTCTTTTGTTACTTTTTTTATCTAACAGTATTGTCTCTCATCTTACGACATCTAATGTCTCTATTAATTTTCTCTGCTTCTTATTGTCATATATACAGCTGAATTACTATATGAAGATGAACACTCATCTTAAAAAAATTATGTTTATCATGTATGCTCTTATCAAAGTTTTGTTCAAAGCTTGAGTCATTATTGTTACAAAAAAAATACAATTTAAAAAAATAAAATAAAATGTTACATAGAAACAAAGAATCAAGTAAAAAAATAATATAAAATTGAATGAATAATTATATTAATAACACAGAGAAGTATTAAAATGATTCAGAGGCACATGTCGCGACATACCGGAAGTGTCTGATTGTTATTAATGGGATCCCAATCTCTCAATGTATCCTAGTTTGTAAACGAGTAGGGTCATTCGCCTTCCAATTAGCCAATTACCTCTGCTCAGTACAAGTATATCTTTTATTGTTACATTTAAAAACTAGATCATTATTTTTATCTTTGTCTTACTCTATTAAATCGCTGTATACTAAAAAAACAATTTCTTCTTATAAATACATTGATAAATTGGAAACTTATTAGGCTATTAGTATAAGATTTTGTTTACTGTTATTATTATCCTAACAAAAACAGTTTCACTGTAAAAAAAAATCGCGCCAAGTCCACGTTCATGAGAATATTAAGAGAAAAAAAAAATTTTTTTTTCTTTACAAAAAGAAATAAAATAAAAAAATTAAAAAAATCCAAGTAACCGATATGATTGTATATGATTTTCGGAAATTAAAAAAAATTTTGTTGTAAATTTAAAAATTAAAAAAAAAATTTTGGAACGTATTTAATGTGCGTGGTTGCAAAATATTTTACTTTTAATGAAATTTATAAAATCTATTTACTAGAACTTTAAAAAAATTGAAATACCTAATGACGCACACCAAGTACGTTCCAAAATTTCCTGGCGGGTGTAAATGCAAGCTGTGAAATGTATTTTTTTAACTGTAGTTTCCCATCTATTGGAGGATTACCATGCATTCTCGAATTATTTAGTCTGTGGTATGTCACTTTTTACATCGAAAAAAAGTCATGATCGAAATTTTTGAGCTTGCTATAGTTTGTGCTGATAAAATTTAATAATTTCAAGTAAATAAATTGTTATAGTTGAATATAATTAATTAATATCAGTAAAATAAAGTATTAATTACTGTTATAATATCAAATTTAGGAACAAGAAGTACCGCAGAATTAAATAAAATTTTGCAACCTCGAAATACCGTTCTGCTTACAGTAAACACACTGTAAGCACACGGTAGTCCGGCGCTCCGTTTACAACGGATTTGAACGGAACTTGGCGCCAGATTCTACCGAATCTGTGGATTTTATTTATTTATTTCTTCATATTGACGGCTTACTTCAAAAACCTCGTTTGCCGAAAAATCGGTTACTTTTTAGGAGAATAAAAACATACAATAAGAGACAATAATTTATGCCTGCTCGTGTTGCTTTGGTATCGATGAAAGTTTGGATTTATGAAAATTTGTCCAAATAAATATAAAAGTTTGTAAAAATGCTGATGAATATAAATGAATAAAAGCACAGAAAAATTTACGTATAATTGTATATAAATACAAATGGTTCTATGTAAACTAGATCATCTATACAATTTTACAGTTGTTCACATGACCAACTGAACAAATAAAATTTCCTATTTTTGAAAATACGTACAACTAATAATATGTTTATTTGATTTCAATTCCACACGTATAAATGGAAAAATGAACATTACTATAAATGAAAATTTATAAATTTACTAGTTAATAAAAAATATCATTTGAATAAATGATTAATAATACAAGTGTATAAAAAAATAAATGATACATTCACTTAATGAACTTATGTATTAAAAAAGATAGATCCGGATGTAAAAAAACTATTATAGATATTTGAACAAAAAAAATTGCGAATAAATAATCGTAATAAATAAATGAAGAAATGATTTTATGAATAAACGACATTATGATCATTAGTATTTTTAAGGTTGTGTATAAATAAACATTTATAAACATAATGATCGGTACAAATGAAAGTTGTCCGAATGGATATTTGAATAAATGAAATTCTATCCAAATAAATCAATAAAAATGAACATCTGCATTAAAGTTAATTAGTAAAAATGAATATTTGTCCAGAAATTAAACTGTCAAAATGAATATTTGTCTAGAAGTTAAACTGTCAAAATGAATATCGGTTAAAAAGAAGATTTCCACGAAATTTCTTATAATTTTATAAGCATGTTGCAATCTATTAAGACCGAATTTTATAACATTTCACTCTCAGAGGGCTGTTACGTGGATGTTAAAAATTAAGAAAACTTAAAACTTTTAATGTATGTTTAACTTCTAGATAAATATTCATTTTTACTGATTAACTTTAATGCAGATGTTCATTTTTATTGATTTATTTGGATAGAATTTCATTTATTCAAATATCCATTCGGACAACTTTCATTTGTACCGATCATTATGTTTATAAATGTTTATTTATACACAACCTTAAAAATACTAATGATCATAATGTCGTTTATTCATAAAATCATTTCTTCATTTATTTATTACGATTATTTATACCTATCTCTACAGAGGTTATAGGAAAGATTAGATCACATGTGTGAATACATTTCAGCTTTATAAAAAATGATTATTTAATATAATTAGTGTTTAAAATGTGTTTACTCGAGCATATTAAATTAGACTATATATTAGCATCAACTTGAAGAAATTTACTTATTTATTTGAGATCTTTTTAGGAAATAGAATCCGATTGTGATAAAAATGGGTTACAATGATTTTATGATAATTGATAACTTTAGATGTTTGGGTGCATACCAACTATTTTTAACATCCCGCTATGAAAATTGATAATTTTTAAATAGTAAGAGATTATTTGGTGTTAGCTCGATTGAAAAATGCCTTGACCAATAGAAACGCGGCTTACGATATATCACAGGGTTTTATTGGAGTTAAATTTAAATTGATTTGGTTCGATCCGTTCGATAGATTTTGAGAAATCTTAAAAATAAAATTTGCCAAATATGTTTTTTTCGAATAACTTTCAATCTAGTGAATCGAAAGTTTATATAATTTAATCAGCTCTTAACCTAAAAAAACAACCTTAATATTGCCGCAAACTGTAACAAAATTAGTTGGTTCGTTCGGGAGATATCATTCAAAATTTCGAAAAAAGTGCCTACTAACATAAAATTTTGGTAATTACTATATAGATATAGTAATTTTAAGCCATAAGAACTTTTAGCGCAAGCTACTTGGTATAAATAGGATAGCCGTACCTTATAATGACTATTCCTTCCTAGTCAAATTTTTACATTTATGTTATCAATTTGTTTAACATATATATACAATTCGGTCATGATAAAAACAACTTTAAAATTTGTTTAACTTCCCGCTAAGAAAAATTGATAATTTTTTTAAATTCGGAAAGTTATTGGTTTTACCCCGTTTTGCGAAAATCAAGTTTTCATCAGGTCTCGACGTTTTGAGGTTATAGAAATCTTCCCTGGCTATTTTTACGGTGGTGCCCGTGTGGCTGTAAGTGTGTGTGTGTTTCTTATTTTCAACGAGGGGGGGGGGGAATCTTTCGAAGACATTGACAGTTGATGTTATCGGTAGTGTGAGATTTTTACCCACTGAACCCCCCCTCTTCTTGTTTCCCGAACAGGTGCGAGGAAGACTGGATCGGAACCGCGTTAGCATTACTTCAGTCTACTCCATGTTTCGTCCGTCTTACGACGCCTGCTCTTGATTACTGCTCTCTTTCAGCGGGTTTTTCTTTTAAAAGGCGCTGCGCGTAGGCTCCGACAGCTGACTAGTTATCTTCCTGTTCAAGCATGCAGGTCACCAAGCTCGCGGGGGAGAGCGTGGGGCCTATAATTCTTCAGTGCTGCTTCTTCAGTACACACTCGAAGAACGTGTGTTCGGCGTCGTGGATTTAATCCAAGTAGTATTTGCACGTCGGCGTGCGGTGCAGTATCATCTCAAAGGGATAGGCGTTAAACTATCCGTGTCCTGTCTATAGCTAGGTGAGAAAGAAGTCCGTGTCCCCGTGCTTCCGAGAAAGCCAGACGTTGATGTTTGGGCCGTAGATGTTTGCGCCGTAGAGTTTTGCCCTCTCGAACACTAGTAAATCGATGGGCGCGGCTTCTGCTATGACTAATACAGCCGCTTTGGAAATCTTGCGGTAGTCGCAGGCAACCCTGATAGCGCCTTGCCGCTGCACCGCTGCTATCTTACGCTGGTATGTCTTTTGTTTCAGGATGTCTGCCCATCTCTTCACTCCGTACAGCAATACTGAGTGGACTGCTTCCAAAAAAACTCTTCTCTTTTTGGTTCGTGGTCCCATCGTGTTGGCCATGATTCTCGACAGATTGGATACTGTCTTGTTTGCTTTCGTGCATGCATTTTTGAGGTGTTCTCGGAAAGACAGCTTCTCGTCTATCACTACTCCCAAATAGCGTTAGTGCCCTTTTTGACGTCAATGTTGTCCCGCCCATGTCCACGGCGAAAGATTTTGGGAACCATTTTTGTCAAGTCAGGACGACCATTTCTGTTTTATGCTTGGCGAGTTTCAGGTTCTAGGAGTTCGTCGTAGTCCGCGTTCCATAGGTCAGGCCCCGTAATTGAACTTTGCGGCACGCCTGCCGTTATATCATGTTCCTGTGGGCTAGCCGTGGTTTCTATGATCAGCGTCCTTTCGTCGAGGTAGTCATCGATTGTTGCCAGATTTTCTGGCTTTGTGTCAAATTTGTGCTACAGGGCATCTAAAATATCTCCGCTATTCGCGAAGTTAAAAGCGTTGTTGATATCTAGTGTGAGGAGGAGACACACTTTGCGAGCTTTGAGGCTACCAGACCATGCTTCTGTTACTGTCTGTATGTCTAACATGCAGAGTGGTCTAAACGACGAAGGTGTTACAGGGTTTCCTTTACCTTTGTCTAAAAGAACCAATCTCTGCCGCCATCGTCAGGCATGCATTGTAGGCGTTTAGGAGTACGTCTGGGTATTCCAGGGCTACAATCTTGATCGCCGATGTCGGGATGCCATCAGGGCCAGGTGTTTTTCCTGTCTTGAGGGTCTTAGCCGCGTCTTATAGTTCCTTGGTTGTAAAAGGTGTTGCTTCGCCGTTTTTAACATAGTGTTTTTTCTCCCGCGGCGCGTGTTTGGGGAACAGCTCCACTACGATGCTGTTCATTAAGGCAGGAGACCGGCGCTTCTGGTGAGGCCTTTCCAAGTCGTTTAGCGAGAATTTGGTAGGCTTTACCCCATATGTCCTTGTCAAGATCGTTACAGATCTCTTTCCACAACATCGCTTTACTTGCTTTGATGGCTCGGTTTAACGTCTTTTTGGCCTGCTTGTACTCGTTTGAATATAAGTCCTGGTTTGGGGAGCGTTCTGCATTTCTCGTTGCACGGCGATGAAGCTCATGGCATCTTTTGCAAAGTTCTGCTATGTCTGATGACCACCAGTACGCCGGCCTGTGAAAACCCCGATTTTTCAGCCGCGGCATAGAGGCATCACATAAGGCAGCAATTTCTTTCATCACATTTAGCACTGTTTTTTCCGTCTCGCTGCGGGTATTTGGAGTCGGGTTGTTCTGAAGAGTAGATCAGCTTCGTATAAGTGACGTTCACAGTGCCTCTAGGTCCACCTTCCTGGCGTTCCACTTCCGGTTTTGAAGGTCGCGTTGTGGAACCGGAACAGGTGCCAGTCCAACGCTGAATGTCCCATACTGGTAATGACTGCCACTGTATTCTTCAGATACAGTCCAGTCTTCAATCACGTTGACAATCCTGGGAGTCGCCAAAGAAATGTCGATGATAGATTCTTGGTACCCCGAATTTCTAAAGGTTGTAGTGCTCCCGGTGTTCAGGACTATAAAGTCGAGTCTTGCTGCGACGTCAGCGACTTCTTTACCTCTGGTGTTGGAGGAAGTAGCGCCCTATTCGGCCGATTTGGCGTTGAAATTACCAGCTACGATGACTTGGCCGTTGAACTTAGTAATGGCATTTTCTAGATTTGCCAGTTTCTGACGGAACACACTAATCCCTTCATTAGGTGAGAAATAGACGCTCATGAAGTAGGTTGTGAGGGTTTGAATCCAGACAAAACCTGCTCCACTTCTGCTGTTGTTGGCGGTAACGTTTTTTGTGTTCACAATCCAAATCGCTGCCGTGCCAGTTTCGTCTGCGAACCATGTTATATCTTGGAGGCTTAGATGTTGATCGCAGATAAAGCAAACGTCGATCTACTCTTCAAAGACTCGCTGGCGCAGTGAGTTTTGCGCCAACGCACACCTATTCAGGTTTCCTTGTAGTATGCGCGTCATGTCTGCCTTCTCGTAGCTTCGGCAAGTGCGATGCGGAATGCCTTACAAGCTGCGGAGTCAGAAATATGACATCAGCCATCCTGAACATCTTAGTCTGCTCGCACGCGCGCGCGTGTGTGTGTGTGTGTGTGTGTGGATGTATGTAAACGTCTCATAACTTTTGAACGGCTTGACCGATTTGATTGCGGTTGGCTCCATTCGAAAGGGCTTGACCAAACTTAGATTTTTAATACAATTTGGACCGGTAGATTTTGAGAAATCTCAAGAAAACCACAAAAAAAA